CTCCAACTGGCAATGAATCCACCCCAAATTAGCAGGGGAAAGGGGTAAAGAATCAGAATTACATAATCATTTCTCTTCATAGCCTTTATTACCATACAATACAAGCTCATAGCCTCTATGTTACAAACCTTACACACAAATGGCAAAACAATTAAGGGACTTTTCTTTCCAAAAGCTAATTTCTTCCAGTTTCCCCTATTTATGCAGTGGAATTAGATTCTCCGTGTTATCCTGAGCTTTTCTAAATGAGCCTTTTTTTTTTTTTCTAATGAGGCTTTCTTTTTTCATTTAGAAAGGCTCTCATGAAAGTAAAATTACACAAGGAATACAGTACAAAGAACCAACCTAATTCTCTCTTTTTTTTTTTTTTTAAAAGATGACCAGTAAGGGGATCTTAACCCTTGACTTGGTGTTGTCAGCACCACGCTCAACCAGTGAGCAAACCGGCCATCCCTATATGGGATCCGAACCCGCAGCCTTGGTGTTATCAGCACCGCACTCTACCGAGTGAGCCACGGGCCGGCCCAGAACCAACCTAATTCTCACTGTCCTCCTTCCTAAAGGACGAATGCCTGGTCAGTGGTGGAATGGGGCATCTATAACATCTTTTTTCTAACAGATGAGGACAGGCCCCAAAGAGAGACAGACCCTCTTAGTCACATAAGTCTTTTAGGGTCTATTTTCTCTAGGTGAACCAGAGGTTTCAGCTGCTCAGCAAAGTTCCTCATGTCATCAGAGACCATATCCTGCCCAGCTGGTGCAACAACACTTAATTCCACAAGATAAGAGAGTGACAAGGCCTCAGTGCTTTCTGTGTTACCTGGCACCAGGATGCGGAAAATCTTGTATACCATAATCTTCATGATGCCTTTACGGAACAAGTGTCCCTTAGCAACAAATTCATGGTCCATGCGGAAGCCCATTTCCATCAAGAAGTCGGTGAGGTTCTCAGATGTGGCAATGTCCACGCAGTTTCGTACCAGGGCATGGCGGTTCTTGTCTCCCATTTCTGGCTGTCCCAGGTAGCGCAGATGCCAGGGTGTCCCTGCCCTATCCATAGAGCGCCGAGCCCTTAGAACAAAGGGGCTGGCCTGCTGGCCCTTAAGAAGAAATACCATCTCATGGTCAAGGAAAGTTTCAGGTTCCATGTTGTCACACAAACCACGAAGGCGGTGGATGAGGCTTTCCAAACTGTGATCTAAAACACTACCTGAAGAGGGAAAAAGCATTATTGAGTCCCATCCTTCATTTTGGATCATGAAATTAACAGAAGATTGATTAAATGAAAAAACAAAACAGTTTAGTGCAACATTTGGAAAAACATAGGACCAACACAAGAGATTTTAAAGGAATTATACTGCCAAGGTATTGCATAACATTATGAGAAAGTTATTTCAATGATTTGCATTTTCTTATTTGGCACTAATAAAGTCTTTAGGCCTCCTCCAATAATGCTCATCTCCAGTAAGCCCTGGGCTCAGAGCCTTTAAAAGGCAACAGTATCTATCTAGAATGTAATAATGCTGTTTTGTTATAATTTCTTTTTTTTTTTCTTCCTTTTTGTCTTTTTTACTGACCAGTAACGGGATCGCAACCCTGGGTGTCGCGCCCGTACCAGGGACCGGCAACGGGATCGCAACCCTCGGTGTTGCGCCCGCACCGTGCTCAGCCATTGAACGGGAACCAGTCTCCACATGGGATCCGAACCCTCGGAGGGAGTGCCGCCACACTCCCAAGCGGCACACTCTCCAGTGCGCCACTGGGCTGGCCCAGGACATTGTTTTTATAAGTTGAAAACAATGGAATTTTGAAAGGGGAGGGAATTTAATTTACAGATATAGTCAGAGATGAATGTCAAACTTTACCCCTCCAGTAAAATAGAATCAAAAATAGAATCAATTTTTATCTTATATTTAAAATTCTTTATACTTAAAATACCTTATACTTGGAATTTCTGTGGTGTGATTGAGTTTCTGACAATGGTTTTCATAAGCCCTTTTTAAATTCATTATAGTCTTGAAATTTAAGAGAGTATTTTAGTCATTGTAGGTTTGCTGCTATAATAAACAAGCTTGCAATCTCAGTGGCTTAAAATAATAAAGATTTATTTTTCATACACATCACATCCACTGTGGGATGCAGTCAGCATGGGTAGTAGACCACACAGTCATTCAGGGATCTACGTCTTTAAATCTGGTGGCTCCGACCGGGGACCGGCAACGGGATTGCAACCCTCAGTGTTGCTCCCGCGCCTCGCTCAGCCAGTGAGCGGGAACCAGTCTGTATGTGGGATCCGAACCCTCGGGCGGGAGCACCGCCGCGCTTCCCAAGCGGTGCACTATCCAGTGCGCCACCGGGCCGGCCCAAATTTCTTTTAACAATCATCTCTTTCAAGCAAATAAGTCTTCCACTTATAGAATATAGTTTCCTTTTTATGTAATATATTTAAGTAAAAGAGAATGAACTGCTTCATAGAAATATACTAATCTTACTCCTTATCTTATTCATCCTCTTGGCAGCATTTGACATGGTTGTTATAGTAGATTATACACACTTTGAAATTTATTCTTCCATTGCCCTCTGGGACACATCTCTCTCTTGGTTCTTCACCTAACTCACTGACAATTCCTTTTAAGTCTTCTTTGCCCAGTCTTCCTCATCCTCCCTAAACACTGGAGAATCCTAGGACTCAATACTGATACTCTTCTCTATCAACAGTCTCTTCCTCTCTAGCTGACCTAACTCAGTCTGACCATTTTAAATATCATTTATGCCCTGAGGACTACCAAATTAATATCTCATAAACTACAGATTCATACATGCAGCTGCCTACAGATGGTCCCTGATTTACAATGGTTCCACTTAACGATTTTTCAACTTCACGATGGGCTTATTTGCATGTAACCCCCTCATAAGTTAGAAATTCTCCTCTATTGTTGGTTTGTTTTTTTAGCTCCTGGCCGGTACGGGGGATCTGAACCCTGGACCTTGGTGTTATAAAATCATACTCTAACTAACTGAGCTAACAAGCCCACCTCCCCTTGTAAGTTCCAGAGCATCTGTACTCCTCCACTTGGATGCCTAACAGACATTTTCATCTCAACATATTCAACATCAAACTATTGAATTTTTCCTCCAAAATCTTATTCCTCATGCAGTCTTCCCCAGCATAACAAATGACAACATTCTGTTTCCAGTTGCCCGGGCCAAAAACCATGAAATCATCTTTGACTCCTTTCTTTCTCCCATATCCAACATCCAATACACACTTCTTAAATAAATGCAGAATCCAACCACTTCTCACTCTCTCAATCACTTCCACTTAATCCAACTTGCCTTCATTTTTTTGCCTGGTCTTTGCAGCAATCTATTCCACCCTTGCTGTCTTCTTTTCTTCTACACACAAAAGACAAGTGGTCTGTTTAAAATATAAGGCATGGGCTGGCCAATAAGCTCAACTGGTTAGAGTACAGTGTTGATAACACCAAGGTCAAGGGTCAAGGGTCCGGGTCCCCTCGCTAGCCAGCCACCAGAAAAATTAAATAAATAAAATAAAATATAAGGCAGTCTAGTGATGACCACTATCTCCCCCACCAAAAAAATAAATAAAATAAAATGTAAGACAGATAGTGACAGCCTCTGCTTGGAAACCTCCTATGGTTTCCCACATCACTGAGAATAAAATCCAATGTCTTACTAGCTGGCCAGTTGGCTCAGTTGGTTAGAACATTGTGCTGATAATACCAAGGTCCAGGGTTCAATACCTGTACCTGCCAGCTGCCAAAAAAAAAAAAAAAAAAAAAAAAAAAAATCCATGCATTGGCCTACAGCAAATCCTCATTTCACTACCATCCATGGTAAAGGCTGTTTTTATTCTAAGGTCATTGGCCAACTATTAGATCCACACTTTATTCTCCACACAACAAGAAAAGACATGGATTGGATTTACATTTTTAAAAGATCATTTCAATATATTGTACCTGCTTTATGATAAGTAGTAGTGACCATGCTTTAATCAGAGCTGCTTTTAATGATGTTATTCTAGAATGTTTTCTATCCAGATGATGATTGAGAAGCTTACAAAAAACATGGTGCCAGGTGCCACAACAGTAGTAGAACTTTGCTGTTTTCTGGGGTTTTGTTTTTTACCCTTTTTTCTTTTTTTTTAAATGCACTGTGCTGGTTGTCTCTATAATTTTGTTTGGATGACTGCAGAACCTGGAAAAGATGTTGCTACTATTGATGCATAACATTCTGCTAATACTGGTCTTTTTATATAAATAAATAAATAAATAATACATACATACATACACACACAAATATGTATCATTTGAATTTTTGGAAACTTTAGCTGTGCTATCAACTTTGGAGAAAGTATCCCAGTTTACCTTGTTGAGTTGGCATTGTACAGAAATTAACAGCCATAACAGTCTAGAAACATTAAACTTAATTTTTTTTCCATTTGTACAGGGATAATGTGCTGTATTAAATATGTAAGATCTTATCTTATTAGTGATTATAGAAACTAATAAAGTATTATCTAAATAATGAAAAATAAGGGCCGGCCCGGTGGCGCACTGCTACAGTGCGCCGCTTGGGAGCGCGGTGGCACTCCCGCCGAGGGTTCGGATCCCACATACAGACCGGTTCCCGCTCAC